CGAGAGAGTTATGCTCGACTTCGTGGACACTACCAAAGATGTTGGGGGATTCTCTCTTCCAGTTTGATTTTATTTTCTTAATTGCAACTATTTTCTTACTCTTTGATCATTTTTGCTTCCTGGACACGTAATTTTCGATTTGTACCTATAAGATACCAAATCCACCAATTAGAACAGAAATATAAACTAATCCAAAAAAAAATCCACATAAACGTAAACGTAGAGAATTATTTCTACACTCCATTGTATCTTTTTTATCTACTGTTTTTGCATTTGTTTGTTTATGCGTATTATAGTCCTAGTATTGTTTTCGTATTTTTAAGAACGTTGTTGCGAATGCACTTTTGCGCATGGTTTTTTACATGTACGTTTGTGCATGTCCATTTGAGCGAGTGTGTTTGTGCATGTTTGTTGAATTGTATTAATATCCTTGGATTGTAGTTTGTGTTTTCCTGATCATTTTTATGAATGCACTTCTGCTTGAGTACTTTAATGCATGCTTTTGTACTTTTACTTATGTGCGTATCTTTTCTAGCGAGTGTTTGTGTGCACGTTTATTGATGCGCATTCATGTCCTTGAATTGTAGTACGTATTATCATGATCGCTTTTGGTATGCAATTTTGACCATGTTCGAGTCCGAATTTTGAAATTTGCCGTGAGACAGGAATTGTAGCCCACTAAAATAGCTTTCTAATGGCAGCGGAACCAGGTGATTTGAAGTCCGGATGAGAGAGTTATGCACGACTTCGTGGACACTACCAAAGATGTTGGGGGATTCTCTCTTCCAGTTTGATTTTATTTTCTTAATTGCAACTCTTTTCTTACTCTTTGATCATTTTTGCTTCCTGGACACCTAATTTTCGATTTGTTCCTATAAGATACCAAATCCACCAATTAAAACAGAAATATAAATTAATCCAAAAAAAAAATCCACATAAACGTAAATGTAGAGTATTATTTCTACACTCCACTGTATCTTTTTTATCTACTGTTTCTGCATTTGTTTGTTGATGCGTATTAAAGTCCTAGTATTGTAGTTCGTGTTTTTAAGAACGTTGATGTGAAGGCACTTTTGCGCATGGTTTTTTACATGTACGTTTGTGCAGGTCCATTTGAGCGATTGTGTTTGTGCATGTTTATTGATTTGTATTAATGTCCTAGGATTGTAGTTTGTGTTTTCATGATCCTTTTTGCGAACTCACTTTTGCGTGAGTACTTTTGTACATGATTTTGTACTTTTAGTTATGTGTGTATCTATTCTTGCGAGTATTTTTATGCACGTTTCTTGATGCGCATTCATGTCCGTGAATTGTAGTACTTATTTTCATGATCGCTTTTGGTATCCAATTTTGACCATGTTCGAGTCCGAATTTTGAAATTTGCCGTGAGCCAGGAATTGTAGCCCACTGAAATAGCTTTCTAATGGCAGCGGAACATGGTGATTTGAAGTCCGGATGAGAGAGTTATGCTCGACTTCGTGGACACTACCAAAGATGTTGGGGGATTATCTCTTCTAATTTTATTTTATTTTCTTAATTGCAACTCTTTTCTTACTCTTTGATCATTTTTGCTTCCTGAACACCTAATTTTCGATTTGTACCTATAAGATACCAAATCCACCAATTAAAACCGAAATATAAATTAATTTAAACAAAAATCCACGTAAACGTAAACGTAGAGTATTCTTTCTACACTCCACATTATCTTTTTTATCTATTGTTTCTGCATTTATTTGTTGATGCGTATTAAAGCCCTAGTATTGTAGTTCGTGTTTTTAAGAACGTTGTTGCGAATGCACTTTTGCGCATGGTTTTTTACATGTACGTTTATGCATGTCCATTTGTGCTAGTGTGTTTGTGCATGTTTGTTGAATTGTATTAATGTCCTTGGATTGTAGTTTGTGTTTTCCTGATCATTTTTGCGAATGCACTTCTGCTTGAGTACTTTAATGCATGCTTTTGTACTTTTACTTATGTGCGTATCTTTTCTAGCGAGTGTTTGTGTGCACGTTTATTGATGCGCATTCATGTCCTTGAATTGTAGTACGTATTATCATGATCGCTTTTGGTATGCAATTTTGACCATGTTCGAGTCCGAATTTTGAAATTTGTCGTGAGACAGGAATTGTAGCCCACTAAAATAGCTTTCTAATGGCAGCGGAACCAGGTGATTTGGAGTCCTGATGAGAGAGTTATGCTCGACTTCGTGGACAGTACCAAAGATGTTGGGGGATTCTCTCTTCTAATTTGATTTTATTTTCTTAATTGCAACTATTTTCTTACTATTTGATCATTTTTGCTTCCTGGACACCCATTTGGGGAGGCGGTGAGGTCGGCGGCATAGCCGAGGTGACAACAGTGGTTGTTTTATGTGTAGTGAAGAAGAGGGATTTTCATAAAATGTGAGGGACTTAAGTGAAAATTTTGAAAACTTTATTTTGCGCCTATAGAAAATTCAGGTTAGATCTATATTTTTTTTTAAGTGGCTCTTTGATATAAATCCTCAATACTTCTTTTAATAGGGAAAGGCCCAAACTATTTTGAACTATTTGAGAAAAACCCTCTCGTAATTTTAGTCACCCATTTTCTCATTTATGTCCCCCCACCTTACACACTATCCGCCCATTCCGCCCATGACCCATCAGCGTGTCTTTTTTTTTTTAATTATTATTTATTTTTATTTTTTTGTTTTTTTAACTTTTTTTTCTCTATCATGTATATTAATCGACTATGAAGCATATTAGATCGACTATGATGAACTATAGTCGATTAAGGAACTGACTACTAAAAATAACAAATCACAACTACAAAAATGCAAACTCAACTATATTTTACAAAAACAAACAATATACAAAACATTATAGTTGATTTATACAATTGGAATCAATAAACAAAAAATCCAAAAAAAAAATTAAAAATTGGAGTCAATGAAGCATATTAATCGACTATGATGTGAAGGTAGTCGATTAAGAATCAGCTACTAAAAATAACAAATCACAACTGCGAAAAAATGCAAAATCAACTATATATTACATAAACAAAAAATATACAAACATTATAAATGATTTATACAATTGAAATCAATAAACAAAAAATCCAAAAAAAAAAAAAAAAAAAAAAAAAAAAATTGGAGTCGATGAACCTTAATCGATTACCAAAGCATAGTCGATTAGCTTAATCGGCTATGAACATGTACATAGTCGATTAAGGTTTCAGCCTGCGCGAAATTCTCTACACGCGCCGTCATCCACCCAATTCACCAAAAAACCCTAAATCTGCCTCCCCATTGTCACCACACCGCCGCCACAACACACCATCACCACCTTACTTTGATATTATGACGGTTTTCTTATTACAAATGAATAAATAAATAAAATCACAACTCGCACCACCAACCAAAGCAGAACCACCACCCATCAAAATCCGATTCCGGCGACAAATCGACAATTTTACCTCTTTTCGCCGTCGATGTAGCAATCGTGGCATTCAAACTCAGAATCGCTATCAAAATCATCATCATCTTCATGGCTTTTGTTAAGATCTTCAACGATGACGACCCCGACGACGACGACGGAGACGACAACGACGACGATTGCTTCAACGGAATTGGCATCGTTGTTCTGGCGGTGATATTGGTGGTTGGTTCTTCATCTTCCGATCAAGAGAGAATAATCTAAAGAATTGAGAGAGAAAAGTATAATAGAGAGAAAAAAAAACGGAGAAGAGACGGGAGAAGAAGAGACGGAAGAGAAGAGAAAATAAGATTAGGGTTTTAAAAGAGTATAGTAGACAATTAAGGGTAGTTTTGGAATTATGAAAATATCACTTGGGTGGAATATTAGCTAAGGGGGTTTTCTCTAATTTTTTTGGGAGGGGGTTTTTCCTTTAACTCATTTTCCTAGATGGGGGTTTCTCTAATTTTCCCTTTTTTTAATTTTAAAAATGGGTATTTAAGTTTTTTCCGGTCAAAAAATACACCCCTTGTCTCTGAACCCGCACGTGCAATACACGATAAGCTGTTACGGACTTTTTTTGCTTTGACTAATTTTCAGGGGGATTTGCTAATTTTTTAAACACGAGAGATTGTTTAGCAATTAGAGATTACACAAAGGTGGTTCTTGTATAAAACCACACATAAATAATTAATTGCCAAATAAAATAAGTCTACGTATAGATTATACGCGCAACGACTAATGAAAGATTCGGATAACCATTGATCAGTTGGATGACTGGGTTTTTTGTCGGGTTCGACAAAAAGGCAACAAGTCAAAGAATATAGCCCAAGAAGGAGCCTCCTTCGCTGTGCAGAGAAAATAGAAGAGATATGCTTGCAGATTATCTGTTGTCGAGTGAATATCATATAATAGCTTCGTTACTTATTGGACATGATCCCGGACTTTTAACTATTCCTGGAACAATATGCGAAGAAATAATTATGTCGGAAAAAATGAATACCGAGGAAAATTTCTCTTTGCTCTAGAGTTTCTCCGACTAAGTACAAACGACGTCTCAATCAGGAAAAACGGTAGCTACAATGTATACAAACTCATATTACCAACACATCAACATGAAGGAACTCGATATTACAGCATTATTATCTGATAATTTTCTACATTAATAAAAAGGAGCAATATAATTGGTTTTCAGTGCATCTTCAAATTCAATAAAACCTCGAATCCGATCGAGTTATTGTGCGTGGTTTACTTTATTTATGTGTACTTGCGTGTATTTTCGAAGTTGTAAAGTTTGTGTGTGAAATGTCAATAACACGAAAAATGATATGAATTATAGTGGACACCATCAAATAAGTTCGAACTATTTCACTGATCATGACTTATCTTACCAACCAAATAAGGACTCGTACGCGTGTGGGAGCTTGAGAAACTTCCGGAATGAGTTACTACTAAAAATACGAATATTATATAATCTTAATAATTACTTCACAGAATACAATCTAGATAAAGTAACATTTGAATGAACAGATATTTTATCGAGGAAAGAAAGTGATTGTACTACCAGTAGTGTTAGGATAAATTGAATGATGAAGAACGAAACAATAGCATGAAGGTGACAAGGCAAACTCGAGATCACGAAAAAACAAGGTGATGCATGGACTCTTTTGAAAGCGTTCAGCTCAATATTCTGCATTAGTCAAAGTGACAAACAATTAGTACGGAATGTTGAGTAATTGAGTTTTGCATGAGAATCGAGTATTTGCTATATCGTGGCACACTAATGATATATCTGCCTGACAAAATTTAGGTTATTCGTATAAATAGAGGACTCACTTGTATAAATAGGTTACAATTCCCAGAAAAATACACATCAGAGTGATATCAATGCAGAAGTTCTGACTCGACCTCACCTGCGCATGATAACAAAATTTATATGGAAAAATAAAATAAAATAATAAATAAATAAAAGATCCATTTAAAATTGAGAAACAACGAACATACTAACATTATGAAGTGTTTCCTTCAATCTAACGTTATTACGTCTCAGATCACTTGAAGCCTTATCCACCTGCACATCACCGAAGGAAAAGAATTAGTTCGATAAATTTTTGCTCCTTCTCGATTAAAAAAAGGTATGAATAATATTCAAACCTTTGTATCCATCTCATCCATCAACGGGACCTGCCTATCCAATTCCTGGAACGAGGAAAACGAAGAAGTGGAGATAAATTAAATTAGACTCGTTTTTTTTATTATTATTTAAATGGCATGAAATCTGGGGTGGGGGATGTCACCAAGCAAATTACCTCATTCATATCCTGTGCCAAATTCTTTAATATATCCAAACCATCCGATATTACGTCCAGACCTTCATCCTGCAGGAAACAAAATTTTCAATCTCGAGGGAGGAAATAATATTCAAAAAAAAAAAAAAAAAAGAAGAAAAATGGAGGCGCTACAAGCCTGCTTCATTTTCCGCATCTCGTATTCTTGCTTGAATTGAGTTGCTTCTTCACTATGTTGGAAGAAATCGTCATCAAACTTCCCATCTAATATATATATACATATATATAAGATTCATATAAAAATAAAATAAAAAAATTGTCCAGAGATTTATGTACATGTAAAAAAAAAAATACAGCATTAACAATCACCAGAATCAAACGTTATTTTCTTATGAGAAGATGAAGCGCCCCATCCTTGAGTTTGTTTACTACTGCCGTCTGATATTGCTTGAATTCTCTCGGGAAGTGTGAGAACAAGGTCAACTCGAGCTTCCAGTTCTTCTTTAGTAAGCCCTTTCACCTGTTGGAATTAATTGTAGATTATCATATAAACACCGGCCTTATAAATAGTATATCTATGTCAGCCGCAAAATATATATATATATATATATATATATATATATATATATATATATATATATATATATATATATATATATATATCAGTATATTACTTGTCCAACTTCGATGCGGTAGTTTCTTTGATTTCACTACGGCCACATAAATTTGCTTTTTTTAGATTGAAGTTTATAGTAAAAGTTCAAGGGTAGGGGTTGCATTATAATCTCTTTCTTGTTTTCTTCAATGAACCTATCCTTCGACATATTAATACCATTCACTATCATCATTGTGTAACTTTCGAATCTATTCGTCTTCGTTTTTTTTCTTTTTTCACGTCATGAATCGTGTGTACCAATACATACATGAATTGTATAGATACATTGAATCCCAATAATGATCCATAATATAAATCAACTATAATGATAACCAGAATATCTCATAACAAACAATTAAAACAAATTCACAAAAAATATACAAAACAAAATTGCTAGGGTTATAAAAAAAAGGAAGGACCTTTTTCTGAGCAAGTTTCTGCAACTTAGGCACCTCATCCATGAGCCTGGCTTTGGTCCGCCGCACCTCCGCATTCATCGCCACCATAGTTGCCCTGTTTGTCTCAACCGCCGCCACCTCCGATTTCTGGACGAAAAAAATTGATTTTAGAATAAAAATCAATTAATTAGGGCAAAATTAAATTAATTGATTTCCGATCGACCATAAGAGTGGCTTCAATTTGGGATTCGAAAGAAGAGTAGAGGCGAGCGAAGGCGTCGTCGGAGGAACCATTGACGGAGCGCTGCTTTTCGACATCGTATTTTTCGTACTTTTTGCTGATGTCATCCAGCCTGAACAGAATATCGATTACGCTCATTTTTTCTTCTGATTTGTTTTCCTCTTTTTGATTGGGGAAAAGGGGAAAATGGGGGCTCCGATCTCTTGTTGTTTTGGGAAGGAGAACAAATTTGAGAATGAGAAACGGCGGCCGTCTTCTATTTCTGGCATTCTTCTCCCTTTTTCTGGTGGAACAGAGGGTTCGCCGTTAATGGCGGTTAGGAGTGGCGCTCTGTAATGAATGACAATACGCGCCAATAATTATCTGCCTATATATATGAAATAAAATAAATAAAAATAATAATAAAGAATATTCCAATTCAATTTTAGAAAAATATTCCTCTTTCAGAATTTCGAAATTTTCAATTTCCGTTTTTTGTTGCAAAGTTCTTGGATCGGGATTGCCCATTATTTAGGTTTTTTGTTTTATTTTCTTTTTAATTTTATTATGTTTTTGAAAAAAAAACTATTATATCAAATTTCAAACATTATTTATATGGATCATATTTGGACCATAAATGTAATATAAAAATGGTTCACACAATAGCATTTACGGATCTAAAACAAATTTATTTTAAGTTGTAAATAAATTGGACCTAAATATATTTTAATCAAAAAATTGCTCTTGTAGTATTATTTTGGAATAAATGATTGCACTAATATAAATTAAGAAGAGAAAGAAAATATAAAAATATTGGTACTGAGGCCACGTGTTGGAAAATAGTCTAGTAGGAGAGAGAGAAGAGTAGCAGAGGGAGAGAGAAAAGTAGGAGATAAGAGAGAGAAAGTAAAGAAAAAAAAATAGTTTGCCACGTCAGGGACCAACACTGGCCCCCTACGCAGAGTGCCACTAATACATGAAAGTGGAAACTAAAAGTGCTATTATTTACTGTTTGAGTGAAAATAGCTAAAACTACGTCGTTTTAGTATTAAATGGGCCGAAAAGAATGGGAAAACAAATAGAGAAGATAATTAAATTAAGAATCGATTGCCCCACCAGTTAATTTATTTTCTCATTCTTTTCGGCCTATTTAGTACTAAAACGACGTAGTTTTAGCTATTTTCACTCAAAAAACAAATGATAGCACTTTTATTTTCCACTTTCATATATATAGTGGTCGGTACTCTACGTAGGGGGCCAGTGTTGGTCCCTGAAGTGGCAAACTAATTTTTTTTCGTTACTTTCTCTCTCCTACTCTTCTCTCTCCTACATTTCTCTCTCCCTCTGCTGCTCTTCTCTCTTCTACTTTTCTCTCGCTCTCTCCTATGACAAACACCCCTCATTGGATTTTTACTTCTCGATAAATCCAAATTTTAAATCAATTTTTGACATAAACCCAAATGACACAAACTACCCAAAATGCCATAACTAATCCCACTAAATGCAGATTACCTCCATTTAGGGTTTTTTGGATTTCTTTATTTTTATATTTATTTTAATTTTGATTGATTTTTATTTTCTATTTTTATTTTAAATTAGTTTTTTCTTATTTATATTTTTCATTTTTTCATTTTAATTTTTTTTAAATGGTTTTATTTTATTTTCAGTTTTTTTTTTCATTTTTTTAATTTCATTTTTTCAAATCATCTTTTCGATTTTTTTCGGAAAAAAATGTGTTATTGAATTTTTCTTTTTTTTGTTTTTTATTTTGATTAAAAAACTAAATTTCTTTTGTTTTTTTTCAATGTTTTATTAAATAGTATTTTTATTAATTTTTTTTACCAAGTTATCACATTGAAATTCGTTACATATTTATCGAAATCCACTATAAATTTATTGAAATCAACTATAAAATTAACATAATTCAAATAAAATTAAGGTAATCCGGCCCACTATGAAATTAAATGTAATTAACCACAAAGCTTGTGCAATCAACATCATCTAATGTAGATAAGAAAATCATTGGTACTATTAATCTGGGTTTTTTTTTAAAGACACCAACAAACGCCATCACCACTAACAAATAGTAGAGTTACCCGAGCATCACCCAACCTAATCACCCTTCTGCCATTACCGTCTGTTCAAAGACCTAACAAAAAAAATGAGACAACAATAGTTAATTTAATTCATACGAAAAAAAATTCATTCTGAAAGCGAAAACCACTACAAAATTAACCTAATCCACTACAAAAAAAAAATCTTCTTTTCGAAGACAAAATCCACTCAAATTATATCGAAATCCACTAATAGCTTACCGAGATCAACTAGAAATTAACGAAATCCACCAATATTAACAAAATTCACTACTTACTATAAGCTCAACCACTATAAATATAGAAAACCACTAAAATATTATCGTACTTCACTACGAAATTAACCTAATCCAGTACAAAAAAAATCCTCTTTTCAAAGACAAAATTCACTCAAATTACATCGAAATCCACTAAAAACTTACCGAAAATCAACTAGAAAGTAACGAAATCCACTAATAATAACGAAATCCACTACTATTAAGCTCATCAAAAACCACTATAAAATATAGAAAATCACTAATGTATTAACATAATCTACTACGAAATTAACCTAATCCACTAAAAAATCCCCTTTTTAAAGACAATCCACTCTAATTATAACGAAAACCACTAAAAACTTACCGAGATCAACTAGAAATTAACGAAATCTACTAATATTAAGAAAATCATTCAATTTTTTTATGCTGTTGTCCTAAAATTCTAATAGAATTCCTAGCCGCTAACTAATTTAAAAAACAAATTAAAGTTTTTTTTTTTACTTTATCAAAAATTGAAAATTATTACTGACAGTGAGATAATGCACACACAATAACACACATAAAAAGTGAATTTTATAATGCAATATATTCTTGATGAATTTCATACAGATCCTAGGAAATTCACATCTTATGACCTAATCATCACATACAAGAAACGATCTGCCAATTCAAACAGAATTCATAAACACGGATCGACCATTCAAGCACAAGTTAACAAAGAGTTAAATTACGATGATGACCGCCGATCCAGCCTCAATTCTTTCGCTGACGACTTTCTCTGAAGATGGCGAATCTTTTGTCGAAGAAGACGTTGCCTGCGTCACCTTTATGCATGGAAAAAAAATTATCGGCAACGACGACGACCTCAAGTTTGATTTGGAACACCGTCCTTGAGTTGGATTTCGAACCGAGAATAATTGCTAATCGGCTTGATGGGCGGGGCAACGACACGGTGATGAGAGAAAGAGACATGGAGGCGTTGGTTGTGTAGAGAAGGGAGATAGAAAAGAAAAAGGACGGGGTAGGGGCGGCGGTGATGAGAGAAAGAGACACGGGAGCGTGGGATTGGAGAGAAGGAAGAGAGGAGAGAAAAGAAGACCGACGGCGTGGTTATTAATTAGGGTAAAAAATGAGAAATTATATTATAGGAAATATGTATTATTTATGAGCGAATAAAACTATTTTGGATTTATATCAATAAGATGAATTTTTTTTTGGACCCATCATAATTGCACATATCTAATGAGAGGGTTTTGTCTAATAATCACATAGGGAGAATTACACTTTTGGTCCCTCATGTTTGATCTGATTTCACTTTTGGTCCCCTTGTTTCAAGTTTCAATTTTAAACACTTTTGGTCCCCGCAGTTACATGTCCGTTAGCAAGTAACGGAAAATACTATTTTGGGGTGCAAATTGAAATTTTAAATTTTTTGGGGATGAAAAATAATTATAAATTTAAAATAGAATACTCATAATTAATTTTTTAATAATATGAAGTATAATGAAATTTATTTATTTAATATTTTCTATTATCAAAAAAATAATCATAAGTAGTATAATTAAAACTAATATTGAGTATAATTCACAATAATTTATTTAGTTAATTTCTTTTTTTTTTATTATTAAAAACAAAAGACTCGATAGGGTCGCTTCGGATTTTTTATTACCATTGTAGGGTTACTCTTTTCCTTGTGTTAGGCCCACAAGGTTTTAACGAGGCCTCAATAAAAATATAATAAAATTAAGTATAATTAAAAATTATTTGTTTAGTTAATTAATTTTTTTGTTATTATTTTTTTATCATAAGTAGTATAATTAAGAATAATATTAAGTATGATTAAAAATAATTTGTTTAGTAATTTTTTTTATTATTAAAACTTTAATTATAAGTAGTATAATTATAATAATATTAAGGGCTCGTTCGGTTACCTATATTGGATTAGATTGGATTACATGAGATTGGATTAATTCCCTACTGACTAATTAATTATTTAGTTAGTAGCATGTTCGGTTTCTTAGATTAGATTTTCTATTAAATTTTTTAAAATCGGTTATTATATATGAATTGTCTATAAAACCACTTAGTTTACAATAATAAAATATGATTTTAAGGATAAAATTGTTTTTTTCCTTTTTAGTCACCCCCTATTAAATTAATCTCAGGGGGAGGGGTGCTACTAATTTAAAAAATAGTAGCATTTACTAGCGGGCTTTGATTTTAGTAGCGGGTTTGAAAAAGTCTGAATCTTACCAACCGGACATGCTATTAGCCCCTACTAATTAGTCAGTAGAACCTTATAGCAGTAACCGAACGAGGTCACTGGACAAAACTAAATAGAACTAAATGACAACCTCACCTAAACATTTGCTTCACATCCTTTATTAAATTCATTCCAAAAATGCCCTTTCACTCATCTTTATTTTATTGTTTTTTACTTTATCATTTTTTACATTATTATAAACAACTTTTTACTTTATCATTTTTTACATTATTATAAACAACTTATTTTTTTCCGTTTTTTTGATTTGAAAATTACGATTTTTTTTTTTCGTTTTTATTAAAAAATAAAGCAGATTTTAAAAACTACTATGGTGTACTATGATATACTATGGTACACTGTTGTATTATAGATTAAAGTATTATTAAAAAAAATCATTTTTTCTACATAATATTGAAAATTACAAAAACAACGTGTTTTTCGTTTTTTTTTTAATTCAAATTACATTTTTTTTTATTTAATCTATTTTTTTTCAATACTGTAGTAGACTATAGTATACTGCGGTGTACTATGATCTACTACGGTGTACTACAAAACCCTAGCAGCCAACAACACAAATCTCACCAACCCTAGCCGTCAAACCCTAGCCGCCAAACCCTAGCCGCCTACCTTCGCAGCCGTCGCAACCATAGTCAACTACCGACATTGAGAAAACTTAGATTTACCATTTTTAACCCAAATCAAACAAAATCTCTTGAAGATCAAGAAAATCAAATGCAATTAGTAAAGAATATACTTTCAATTAAATTTCCACTATAACCACATCCCTCACCGCTTCATCGACCTCCACAGCCCTCACCGCTTCATCGACCTCCACAGCCCCCACCACGGCCGCCACAACCACCATAGCGGGACAGCCCCCATCGCCATCGACCTCCACAACCCCCACCACGACCGCCACAACCACCATAGCGGAACAGCCCCCGTCGCCTCGACCACTATGGCGGGACAGCCCCCGGCTCGCATCGACTATATATCAAAGCCCCCTGCCGCCACCTCCACCACCACGGCCCCCCGCTGCCGCCTCGTGCACCACAGCCCTTTGCCTTGGCTACAACTGGAGAAGAAAGCAAGAGAGATATAGAGATGGAAAGGTGATAGAGAAAAAAAACGAGAGAGAAAAGAATATGCAGAAATAACGTGAGAGAGAGAGAGAGAGAGAGAGAGAGAGAGAGAGAGAGAGAGAGAGAGAGAGAGAGAGAGAGAGAGAGAGAGAGAGAGAGAGAGAGAGAGAGAGAGAACGGAGAGAATACCGAAAGAATAAAATAAATCTGAATAAAGGAAACGTGAATATATGTAGGTTAGAGAATTTAGGATATAAGGGCAAGATTGGGATATAAAAAAAATTAGGGATGTGGCTCATATATTATTTCAAATTAACGATTTAATAAAAGAATGAATTTGAACTTGTCATTTAGTTCAAATTAGGTTTAGTTTGAGGGACTCCTAGCATAATTTGTTTCGTTAATTGCTTTTCTTTTATTATTAAAAATTACAAGTAGTCTATTTTAAATTTATAATTGTTTTCATCCCAAAAGAATTTAAAATTTTAATTTTCACCCAAAATAGTGTTTTCCGTTACTTGCTAACGGACATGTAACGACAGGGAGCAAAAGTGTTTAAAATAGAAACTTGGAGGTGAACTTTGTTCAATTTTGAACAAGGGGGACCAAAAGTGAAATCAGGCCAAACATGAGGGACCAAAGGTGTAATTCTCCCTAATCCCATATATATATGGGGTCTTAAGATATAGGTCCCTAGTGACAAAATTAATTTGAACTAAATGACAAGCTCAACTAAACATTTGCTTCACATCCTTTATTAAATTCATTCCGAAAATGCCCTTTCACTCATCTTTCTTTTTTCAATTTTCACGCTAGCATTTTTTATATTATCATAAACAATTTTTTTTTCCTTATTTCGGATTTCGGGTTTCGTTAAATAATTCAGCAGATTTTTAAAGTACTATGGTATACTATGTTGTACTATGGTTTACACAATTATTCAAAAATAAATATACATATATATATATATATATATATATATATATATATATATATATATATATATATATATATATATATATATATATATATAAGCAAAAGCAGTTGTAGGGTGAGTTTAGGGGGGGATTTTGCAATGGGTTGTTCGAATGTTGAAAAACCAGTGTTTGTCGATACAAACCTCGGTACCCACCTTGCTGTTCCTATTTCCCCTGACATCACCGCCAAGGAGTTTATGGGTTAGTCAAATTTCTTTCTTTTTCCTTTTTTTTTTTTTTTTGGTTTTATTTCAATGTTAGGTTTTCCGGTTAAAAATCACATCTTTAACGTTGGGCTTCTCGAAAAGAATTTTTTTTTTTTTGTTTTTTTGGTACCAGAAATTGGTCAAGTGTGTTTTTTCGGAAGGTTTCTTGAATAGACATTTGTTTAATCTTCTATATATTAAGTGCAATCAATAGCAATGTGTATGCCCTATTGTTAGCCCTCTGATTCATTACTGTAGCGACAAGTTCAAATTTGGGATATATTAGTTATGTTATGGTAAATGATTTCGAATGGGATATTTATTGCTGGATCTGCTGTACAATGGTTTGAAAGGAAAAACAATGGTCTATTCTATTAGGACAAAATTCGACGAAAGAGATACTGTGTATGCATTTGTTGGTATAAACATTTGGAAGATGATCGATTGTTACTTGTTCATTGCAGTGGAGCTTGAATTGGCTCATCTGAATTGTTTCCCAGAATTTGGAAGCATTAGTGTTACTGCAGTGATGGTATGTTCGCCGAGTATATATATTTTTTGTTCTGATTGAATACACATTTACGATCCTTGCTCTTAACTCTGTACCAGGTGAAACAAAAATCGCGTCTTTACCACCTATCCGAGTCTTTGCCTCTTAAGTACGCTTTTACGAGCTCAAAGAGTAGTTGTTGGTTTCTTCAGAGTCATGCTCATTCTAATCCATTAATAAACGGAAACCACAAAAATCCCACTCAAGTCGACAACCTTAATTCTGCTGACCAAGATGTTGTTACAGATTCAGTTGTCAAAAAGGAAAAAATCAAGAAAACTGGATCCCCGGTACAACAGCAGCAGCCGCCTCTTATTGAAAAGGAAAGGCTATCGACAATTAGAGATGAAGAAGCTGAAGTAAATTTGAGCAATGACTTGGAGAAGAATGATGTGATTGCAGAGGCTCCTATCGAAAAAACATTCTCAGAATCAGAATCAATATCGGTTTCAGGGATTATCAATAAGTACTTTTCAGATTACGATGAAGTTGCCTCTAGTCCACAAGTTTTCCCTTTTTGCACAGTTTGGAGTAGACATAATAAAGAAAAACTTAAGAGTGACGCTTTTGAGTCCAAAGACTCAAAGCCCCGAGTTGGGAAGCGTGTTTTGTCGGGTTTGGATCGTCGTACTCGTCGGCTTATTCCCAGTAATCAAGGATCTGCACTTTCTCTCTCTAGGTGTACTAGTAATGTAAAATCTCCGATTTGGGACGTGCCTGATGATGAATTGTAGTAATGTTTCAGACAATGGAATTCAAGACAGAGGAGGGAGGGACCCCTCTCAACATTTTCAATGATGTGATATTTTGAAGGTTTTTGTGAAGTTCTTGTTCATATTTAAATGGAGCCCCCTATTATTTTTGTATTTTTCAAACAAATCTCTATCTTTCTGTGCATAGAACGATGCAGTTTTGGGGTCCCTTTTTGTTATTATTAGGGTTTAACAATGAGTTCAATGAAGTTTCATGGTGGTACATCTTCCTTTTTTATTTTCTTTTTTCTTTTTGTTTTTGCAACTTTTTCATGCTGAGAATGATTACTGCGGTGGGTCGTTTTGTGGAAATCCATTTTTTTGGTTGCCGAGAGAGAAGAGATAATAGATAAGAGGGGGAGTAGTGAGAAGATTTGAGAAGAGAGAGATGAGAGACACGAGATCGAAAGCGGTCCCGAGAATGGAGAACTTTCCTCAAAATTTTATTTGCGGTTTTGTCCACTTTTGTTTGAGGGAAACCAATTTTCTATGTTTTAGTTTAATTTTATTTTTCCACATTTTCCTCAAACTGTTTTACATTGCCACCAAACATGAACACAAGTTTTCGTTATATTTTCTCCTTTTTACTTACTATTTTCCTTAAACCAACCAAACAGAACCTTAATATTTTACAAAAAGATCAAGCTTCATGCAACACCTTGAAATGCATTGTTAAAAGGATCAAAATAATTTCAAAGATAGGATAAGAATACTTACTTCATGGCTACCAAAGTCCTCGACCAATTTTAGGAGCTGATACTGCTGCACTTTTAGGGTAACTCAGAGTGGTTTAGTTAGTAACAGATACATCTACAAAACAAATAGAAAATGTCGAAAGTAAGACCCCACCCACGTCCTTAATTTCATAACTCATCATTTCATCACCACCTTCCAACTAACCCACCTGTCATATTTATCATTTTATCACCACATTTGCATGTCTTATTTGTGATTTAATTATTTTCTCTACTAATTCGAAGAATTTTGACTAATTGGTATGATAAGTGAATTTTCTTATTACCTAGTTTTGACTCCGATTCATTAGTGAGCTTATACTATGTTTTTTTTAAAATACCTACACCCCAACTCTTTTTTATAAGATCTTATTTGTCTCTTTATTAAACACTTCAAATATAAAATTACCCTCAACATGAATACTATTAATATTTATATTTTATCAAAACAACGTATTCTTGTAAGGGGCAATTTGCTACAGGTCCACGTATAAGAGATTTTATGTCTATAAATCCAACTAATAAAACTCAATTTTTAGTAAATTTATTATTTTTAATATGCCAAATATATCCCTAACAATATATGGAAATAAAAATCTCCAAAATAATTTCCCATATTTCTCCATACAGTTAATCAAACCATTCCAAAATTTCACGTATTCTCAATCTTAAATTCCACCGCTCCCAAACATCGATTTCATCAATACCAAACCTACCCAAAAATCTCATTGAGTCTGCCATAGGTAGGGTCCTCGAACCGTTTGCAATTTACAACATTTCGTTTGTTGTTTACGTTGGAATCAGTTTTTTTTTTTTTTTTGAAGATCATTTGTTGTTTGAAGACATCGTCTGTTGTTTCTTCATCTGTTATTTGTGATATCTACAATGGCTCAAACACGATTTAGTCTCGGTAAGCAATACTCCAATTAACTACATGTACGTATGATTGTTCGGTTTTTTTAATACTCATTCAGAAACCCATTTTTTTTTCTTCAGACATCGAACGAGGATGATGAATTCGAATCCCCGAGAAATCAGATATAAATTGCAGAGTTTGTTGATGTTAGTAGTCTGTTTATGTTTTTTTTTTAAATGTGACTGTATTTTAGTTTGCATCATTAATTTCTTGAGATTAAAGTTTTAATTGTTGCTAGTTTGAATTTACTATACCGAGTTTGCATTTTGCTATTTCGAGTTTATTATTAGGAGTTTGCATTTTGCTATATTGAGTTTGTTTTTTTCTTTCTCTTTTTACACATGTTTGCAAGAAGTTTTCTACTTTGCATTTTTCAGTTTGTATTTTGTGAATGTTGTTTGTTGTTTGCAATTATAATTATTTTTTTTGCTATTTTTCTTAAATTTGCAATTATTAAATTGTGGTTAAAGTTAGCAATTTATTTTTTGTAGGTTCAACATTGTACATTATATTTTATCGTGGGAGTGTTTCAATTCATACATGCCTGGGTAAAAAAAAAGACCATTTTCGGTTGTTCCCCCTGACATGAAGAAGTTCTTCGATAGTACGAGTGGGCAGCAAATGTAATTTATTGTGAAAATATTACACTTTTTAGATTATTGTTGCACATCCTATAATATTGTTATAATTTATTTTTCTATTTCAAATTGCAATTTGCATTTTTTTATTTTTATTGCAAACATATTTTGTCGTTTTAAATAACTTTGGTAGTTTATTGAAACACCCTCAATTAGAAAATGCAAACAAAAATTATAATTCAACTATACATAAATATAAAGGAGAGATGGGGAAAAAGAGAGACGATATGTGGGATGAGAGAGAAACATGTGTGTGTGTGTTAGAGAGAGAGAGACGTGGAAGAGGAGAGATGAGAGAAATGATAGGTAAAGTGATACTGGAATTTGTTCTCTTATTTAAATAAATAACCATTTTCATAGAAATATATTAATTGGTGTATTTATGGATATATACTAATAATCTTATTTTATTTAAATTAATTTTATTGACCAAATGACTTATACATATATTCATCTAATAAAATGGATCTCTACTTATATAAGTTCAAAACATTGGGTGTCTAGCAAATTTCCCCTTCTTGTAATCAAGATTAATAATTAGTTAAAATATAATTATCATAATAATTATAAAAAAAATATTCTCTATTTATATTTTATATTTAAATAAAAATACCGAAATATCCTTATTATCTCAATAATAAATTATATTTCTTTTATTTGTCAAAAAAAAATTATATTTCTTTTACAACATTTATTTTATATTAATATCTTAATGGGACATTAAAAAAATAAAACTTTCACAAACGTGATTCACTAAATGTTTTATTACCCAAGACCCATTTTGTCCGTCGTGCGGACATAAACCTGAAACGACCCTCCATGCAATATTTGGGTGTGAGGGCGTTAGACAGCTCTGGAGACGGCCCCCTTTTCATCTCTGCCATTTCGATGATGGCAATCCGTTTTGGAGTTGGCTGGAATATCTTGAGCGAACGTTGGCTAAAGAGTATTTTCTTTTGACGGTGGTGGTGTTCTGGAAAGTTTGGGAAAGGAGAAATCGCCCCGCTTCACGGGAAGGAGAAATCGCCCCGCTTCAAATTGGCATACATTATCGGTTGGTGCAGTGTCTATCTCCAAACATCAATGAAGTGCAATTTTGCCACCTAAAACCTCTGATACCTAGCCTTCAAGAAGTCTGACAGCCTCCACCAACGGGAACCCTTAAAGTTAACGTTGACGCCGCATTACCTTCGGGACAGGATTACTACAATATTTATTTGGTGGCCCGTGACTACACTGGTAGATGCATCTGGTGGAAGGTGAGGAAGTTAATGGGTAGGGTCCGACCACCTAACGGAGAAGCTCGTGCTGTCCTCCAAGCCCTCATCACTAGTCGTAATCTTCAATGGAAATTTATAATTGTGGAGGGTGACTGCTTACAAATTATGGAAGCTTTACGCAATAAGGCACATTCGCTCAGATCCTATGGAGCCATTTTAGAAGAATGTTTTATTGAAGCTCGATTTTTTTTCTTTTTGCAATTTTTCCTTTGTTAAGAGACGAGGCAATAGCCTAGCTTATGAACTAGCTTGGATCTCTGTTTCTGACTGTTCGGAAGGGACTATTCTCCCTTTACATTTAGCCGAAAGTACCTAATAAAGATTGCAATTTCTTCTTCAAAAAAAATGTTTTATTACACTTAATTTATTTTAAAAAATAACCAAATATCACATCAACATAAAAAAAAATCATTTAGTTTATTTAATATATAATTTTATATTATTATTTTAATTTGAAAAACTAATTTATAAATATTATAATAATATTTTAGGAACAAAAGTATTTGAGTTAAATAAGTTTAACAGTTATAATGACGTCATGTATTTTTTTCTCATTATAGTGATAAACAAGCCTTTTATTTCCAAACACCTGAACAACTTATAAAAACTAAAAGTAACTTATAAGTTATTGATATGCCTAATTGGGCCAACCCAATGGGCCTACAATTTCTTTACCTACTGGGCTACGAGCCCAATATCGAAGACTAATATCACCGAGACCCAAACACCTTCAAGTAAGGCTTGGGCCCAGCAAAGCAAACCCAACCCAATAAACGACATATAAATAGAGGTTTTACTCATTTTATTAAGGTATGTCCTATTTAACTGAGCAATACTACAATACGTATTCTCTGGACCATTTCTACTATCAGCATGTCTGACTTGAGCGTCGGAGGGGTTTCCGCCGGATCAACCCCCGGCTTAGTTCATGTGTTCTATGATCGCAGGTACCTCAGGATCATCAAGTTGTCAAGCTACTGATCTGTTTTGCTCTCCCAGTTCATTTTCTACACTATCCTAGGTGAGCTACACATATTAGCATCATCATTTTGGCGCCGTCTGTGGGAACGATGCAAACCAGATCACGTAGCCAACAAGATCCTCCTGAGGCGTCTGCTCGGAGAGAAAATGACACAGCTAACAACCTCCCACCTCGTGGAGGCTCTGGCTTGCCACCTCCTCCACGTCCCATGGATCCGCCTCGCGAGGTTCAGGTGATCCCCCCTCGGGACCCACCACTCGCCGATCCATCACTCCCTGCTCCTCGAATGGTTCAAATAACCGAGGATGCGCTTAAACGCATGATAGCAGAAGCTTCAACTCGCGCTGCCACAGAGGCCGTGATCTAATATATCGCCACGATGGGAGCAAATGCTCCCAACGCGATACCAGCACCTGCTCCACATGTGGAGCCACCTATGGCACCACCGCCATCGACTCCCTGGGGGTTTACATCGCCCCCAAAATATTTTGCTCGCCAAGGGTTATCGACTCCCTGGGGGTTTACATCGCCCCCAAAATATTTCGTTCGCCAAGGGTTATCGACTCCCTGGGGGCCTACAACTGCCCCCAAAATATTTCGTTCGCCAAGGGTTATCGACTCCCTGGGGGTTCACAATGCCCCCAAAACATTTCATTCGCCATGGGTCATTGACTCTCTGGGGGTCTAC